CTACTCTCCGTTCAGTGCCCCAAATAGGAAGCCGATTCCCATGGGGGCACTTGTGCGGGCTTGATCCCGAATCCCACTGTGTCCATAGACACAGACAGCAAGACTTGTCCCTGCCCCCTGATCACTAGAGTTGATTGACAGGAGTGGGAGCCAATAGCTTCCGCTGCTATCGATCTGCCCAGGGAGTCAGGAGAGCTGCAGCTCTTGTGCACAGCGGTGGATCGTGATGTGGCTCAGGTAAGTATAAGGGGGGTGAGGAGGGGGAGTATGTGACACAGGTTTTTTTACCTGAATGCATAGAATGCATTCAGGTAAAAGACCTTGAGGTATTAGAACAGCTTTAAGATGCCTACCCTGTGCATAGATGGATTGAATCTTTGCCAGTTCCTGCTGAACCGGCCGAGATTCAATTCATCTATGGCAAGCTACACAATCAAGGCTGGAAATGTACATATTTTAATTAAAGAAATTGACAGACTATGTATGCATAGAACATGGAAACAAAGCTAACAACTCAACATTGTACGAAAACATAGGAACTGGGATACAGAAAAATGGCAGCAGGTGCTCTGGACTGATGAGTCAAAATTATAAATATTTGGCTGTAGCAGGAGGGTTTGTGTTGGCCGAAGGGCTAAAGAGCAGTACAATAATGAGTGTCTGCAGGCAACAGTGAAGCATGGTGGAGGTTCCTTGCAAGTTTGGGGTTGCATTTCAGCAAATGGAGCTGAAGATTTAGTCAGGATCTGGTGTCCTCATTGCTGAGAGATACAGGCAGATACTTATCCATCATGCCATACCATCAGGGAGGGGTGTGATTACCTCCAAATGTATTCTGCAGCAGGAAAACAACCCCAAACATACAGCAACTGTCATTAAGAACTATCTTCAGGGTAAAGAAGAACATAAAGTCCTGGAAGTGATGGTTTGGCCACCACAGAGCCCTTATCTCAACAACATTGAGTCTATCCATTACATGAAGAGACAGAAGGATGTGAGGCAGCCTACATTCATGGAAGATCTGTGGTTAGTTCTCCAAGATGTTTGGAACAAAACACACACACGTGCAATTCTGCCCGCGATTCCTGATCACGCAAGTATCACGTCAAAACGCACAACACTTTTTTGGGCGCCATTCATTGGTAACGGCATTCGAAACATAGTTAGCACATGTGCGTTTTGCTACACGTTTTGCCATGCAACAAAACGCATTACTAAAGTGCCAGAACACCGGCTGAAAAAAAAACGCACATTTCATGCCCAAAGAGGTTCAATTTGGCATTTTGGTGCTTTTTTAATGTGCATGCTAGCACTTTATGTGCATTTTGATGCTAACACGCATTTTGGCTTTTTTTTTTTTTTTACAGCCCCATTCACACCTGTACATTCCAAGAATCTGCAGAAATTTGTGTTTTTGTGCACATTTCATAAATGCAGGGAAAATGCATGTCACATTTATGGTGCCATGATTGTCAATGCCCCCCCCAACATGGCTATCAGATGTGTGTTGTCAAAATGCAGCAAAATGTGCGGAAAGTGTCAAAATATGCTTTAAAGGAGATGCTAAAATGGGCATTAAAAAACCACACCAAAATGTGTGATACAAAAGTGCCAAAATGAACGTTACAAAAAAGGGCAAAAAATATGTATTTAAAGAATGTTCCAAAATGCACATTAAAATAAAAAAAAAAAAAAAAAAAAAAAAAAAAACTGCACTAAAATGCGCAATAAAAAGTACCTAAATATGCATTAAAAAAGCAGCAGTACTTACTATTTTTACATAACTCCTCTCTGATGCCCGCCTCCCCACCTGCCCCCTCGACCCTATCCCCTCACAACTCCTACAACCTCCCTCCCCCTCCATCCTACGCTCCCTCACCCACATCTTCAATCTCTCCCTCTCCTCCGGCACTTTCCCTTCCCCGCTGAAACATGCACACATCACCCCCATACTTAAAAAGCCCTCCCTGGACCCCAATGACCCGAACAACCTCAGACCCATCTCCCTGCTCCCATTTACATCTAAACTCCTCGAGCGCCTAGTCTACGCCCGCCTATGCTCTCACCTCAACGACAACAACCTCCTCGATCCCCTACAGTCCGGCTTCCGTCCCCTACACTCCACCGAAACTGCCTTACTCAAACTCTCCAACGACCTGCTAACCGCCAAAGCTAATGGCCACTATTCAGTGCTCCTACTCCTTGACCTCTCTGCGGCCTTTGACACAGTCGACCACCCCCTCCTCCTCAAAAAACTACACTCCCTCGGCCTCAGAGATTCTGCTCTCTCCTGGCTCTCATCCTACCTGTCACAACGCTCTTTCAGCGTTACCTATAATGCCACCACCTCCCTCTCACTCCCCCTCTCTGTTGGGGTCCCTCAAGGCTCTGTCCTCGGGCCCCTTCTCTTCTCCATCTACACCTCCTCCCTTGGCCAACTCATACACTCTCACGGCTTCAACTACCACCTCTATGCCGACGACACACAAATCTATCTCTCAACCCCCCACCTCACCCCCTTGGTCTCCGCCCGAATCACACACCCTGTTGAGCGACATATCAGACTGGATGTCGCTCCACTTCCTTAAACTGAACCTCTCCAAAACCGAGTTTCTTGTCTTCCCTCCAGCCCGGACACTACCCCCCTTTGACTTCTCCATCATGTCCAACAACGCCACCATCAAACCCGCCCCGCAGGCCAGAGTACTTGGTGTCATTTTGGACTCCAACCTATCCTTCCAGCCCCAAGCCCACTCTTTAACAAACTCGTGCAGACTCCACCTCCGCAACATCGCCAAAATCCGCACGTTCCTAACTCCAGAAACCACTAAACAGCTCATCCACTCCCTCATCATATCACAACTCGACTACTGCAACTCCCTCCTCACTGGCCTGCCTCGCCGCTGGCTATCCCCGCTTCAGTCCATCCTGAATACGGCTGCCAGACTCATTCACCTTTCCAACCACTCCGTTTCCGCCACCCCCCTCTGCCAATCCCTCCACTGGCTTCCGATTGCGCAACGAATCAAATTCAAAATCCCAACGCTGACGTACAAAGCTGTCCACCATACTGCCCCGAACTACATCACTGACCTAATATCCAAGTACCGCCCAGCACGCACACTCCGCTCCTCACAAGACCTCCTTCTCTCTAGTTCCCTGGTCTCCTCCTCCCATGCCCGCCTCCAGGACTTCTCCAGGGTGTCACCCATCCTCTGGAACTCCCTGCCCCAACCCATCAGATTATCACCTACTCTCCTCTCCTTTAGGCGCACCCTGAAAACCCATCTCTTCAGGGAAGCCTACCCCGCCCCCTGCTAACTTGCCGACCTCCTCCACTCTTCCTACCACTCCATCCCCCACAGCTATCTCCTCCTGTGCCACCATCCCCTCCCTCCTAGATTGTAAGCTTGAAAGAGCAGGGCCCTCGATCCCCTCATGTTTTGCATTGTATTGGTATTGTTCTGTCACATGTTCTGTTCCCCTCTGTAATGTACAGCGCTGAGCGAACTATTGGCGCTTTATAAATACTGTATAATAATAATAATAATAATAATAATAATAATAATAATAATAAAGTAACTATGTATTCTTTTTAAAACACTAGTTTTTCTTTTTAACCCCCTCATGATGGAGGATAAAACAAATCCTAATGCTTGAACACATTTTTGCAACTTTGACATGTGCTAGTAAAACTGTACATACTAGGGATGCACCGATACCTGTTTTTTACCAGAGAGTACAAGTACCGATACTTATGCTCAAGTACACGCTGATACCATTTACCGATACCTTTCCGGTGCGATTTGAGTCCATACTAAATGAATGGGCTGAAATCGCACTGCAAAGAATCACGTGATTTGAACAGGAATGCGGTGCAATTCCTGTCCGAATCACATGTGGTTTCTTGCACTGCAAAGGAAGAGGAGAAGAGAGGCACCGAGCCGCCAATAGTGTATCAATGTTTATTCAATAAAAAAGTTAAAACGAGACAGTACTGCACTCACAGACATCGCTGGTCACAGGCATACAACAAGCTCTGTGTGGAGCCCCCAGTCCAAAGTTCAGTTCCCACTAGAACGGCTGGAGAAAGTGCTGTGAGGCTGAAGCAGGAATCCAGGTAACCCACAAGATGCCACGGGAGCTGTCAGATATCCAGGATGCTGTGGCCAATCAGAACGTGTTTCACAGGGCAAACCATGCCTCATTCATCAGACTTCGGATTGGCCACAGCATCCTGGACATCCAACAGCTCCTTTGATAGCTTTGAGTCTCCCACTGCATCTCCCCGTGGCTTGCCTGGATTCCTTCTTCAGCTTTACAGCACTACCTCTAGCGGTTCTAGTGGGGACTGAACTGCAGACTGGGGGCTCCACACTGAGCTTGTTCGAGCCCATTCATTTTGTATGGAGTTAAATTGCACTGGAAAAGATATCAGTTTTAGGTATCAAAGCATTCACACAATACAAGTACTAATGCAACAGCTTATTAATGCCACGGATACGGTATTGGTGCAACCCTAGACTTTTTTTTCAGGAAAAAAGTTGGCCGTTTTTTTATTTATTATATTTTTATTTATTAGTATCAAAGGAAAAATGGTCTAAAATATTAAAAAAAGAGCATTTGTGAAGTGAATTTCTTGCCATTACCTAACCTACCACCAAAGGACAACCCAAAATAAATTATCCTGCAGTACAACCCAGAAACAATGGTTTTTTACCAAAAACTCGCTGACAGCAATACGTACTTAGAAATTGTTTTTTTTTTTTAACCTAAAATACACTGACCCTGACCTTTGACCCTAACATAGCTCGAACCCTGATCTAGCTATTTTTATTTTTTAATTATTTTTATTTATATTTACACACTTTTGTTTTGAGTATTGATTTGTAAGCATATGCCTCCAAGAATATGCTTTATATCTGGGTGCATTAAATCTGGATAAGATGACAAAGTGGTGGTCCAATATGAATTGGAACATATACAATAGATGTACTTACAGACACGTAATAAGGTCCGGCAAAGTCTCGGATTATACCAGATGATGTACAAATTCCCATGTGACCAATGAAGGGAAATAACCATCTAAAAGAAACACACAGGTACTGTATATACACAACCTAAAAAATTTTTACTTTTATTACTAACATTTCCAGAACATTTCAGTTTTGACCTAAGTAAACTGTACAGTGCTTCAAGTGAACTTGTGCCTAAACTGCACGGTAAAACATTTTACATATACTGAACAGGCAGAAAAATAAGTTACTCTCCCCTTATTTTCTATGACAATTTTGTAATGTAAACAAACAGCAGGTGCTTATAACCTGTTGGATATTAAGTGAAGCCCAACTTTGTAACCTCGAGGATGAATTGCTATATAGTACATGTAGCTGCAAAGTTCAGTACTTGCTTGTTTTAAAGCTTTTTTACCACTTAAAGAATATGTAAAATCTTTAAAAAGGGTATAGTCTGGAAAAGGTGCACTTAAATCACACCCCCTATTTTAGGTAAAAAAAAAAAAAAAAAAAAGAAGGATTATAAAACACAGTTGGTGGTGGGCTGGCTACCATTAGCTCATTTGCCTTTCCCGATTCCCTTGCAAGAATCTCCCAGCATGCCATGGAGTAAAAGACATCCCAATCTTGGTGCTGCAAAAAAACAGAATTACGCTAGAACTTTTGTCTGACTTTCATAGCTGTCTGTTGCACCAGACTTCTGGTCCAAGTGACATTCAAAGCAATGCTGTGAGAACGTCCACTTCTCTAAAACACAACCTCTTTTTATTAAAGTGAAAAACAAAACAAAAAACGGATCAATAGCTGGTATCACTGACAAAGCTGCACTAAAGAAAAGAATAAAGGTTATTTTACCATCATCTCATTGCGTAACGCTCCAGAAAATTACCAAAATAGCAACTAAAAAAAAAAACAAAAATGTCGAAATAAAAATTTACAAAACAAACTTTCCCATACATTTTGTCCTGGACAGCTTTTCAGAAGTATTATAGTAAAAAAAAAAAGGGAACCAAACCCAATCGTAGAAGGGGGGAGACTGTAGATAGTCAGAAGGCCAGTTTTCCAAGAATTATTGATATTTTATGCTGCTGTAAACAGAAAAGCAATGACTGTGGCATAACAAGACCCACTACCCACAAAAGACACATAGCAGAGAAAACCCGCCATGCACCTGTATGCTTGAACTTGTAAAATGTTAGCGGCCCTGGAAAGACTAAAGTTAGGGCACCTTGATCTAAATGGATGCAAGTTGCTACAAGAGTTGTTTTTAAGTTATTATATATACTTTTAGAAATTCTATACAATCAACAGTTTTGTGCCTTATAACATCTTTACAATTTATGGTTTGTGGTGAATTTTGTTATTAACAAAACATATATATTGATACTATATACAGTGGGTATAAAAAGTCTACACACCCCTGTTAAAATGTCAGGGTTCTATGATGTAAAAAAAAAAAAAAAAAAAAAGGACAAAGATAAATCATTTCAGGACTATCCCACCTTTAATGCGACCTATAAACTATACAACTCAGTTGAAAGACAAAGTGAAATCTTTGGGGGGAGTAAAAATAAAAAACAAAAATAAAGTTGCATAAGTGTGCATACCCTCTTATAACTGGGGATGTAGCTGTGTTCACAATTAAGCAATCACATCCAAAATCATGTTAAATAGGAGTCAGTACACAACTGCTACAGAGGTGTGGAAATTTTTGAAAAAAACTACTTGTCCAGGGACTAGATCAGTGTCCCAAATGACAATTTCTCCAGATAAAAATTAAAAAAAAAAAAAAAAAATCAATTTTAACCAAAACCGTATTTAAAATCTGTGTTAGGAATGTCTGGGACTTAAAATGTTTAATTTTTTTAACATTGCGCTGTATATCTCCTCCTCCATGCCTCACTCCAGCACCACACCTTGGGGACTAGCAGGGAGGAGAGAGACCTTGCAGTGTGAGGAGCACAGACTGGGTGCTTGTCAGGAAAGGGCAGTGTCGGGCTTATCCTTTATCCCTTTTGCTGCCAGAACCATTTTTTGGTTTTTTTGCACGTTCAAAAAATTATTTTAGGTTTGAAGATTACACAACACCCCCAAACATTATATATTTTCTGAAGGCAAAGACCTGTGATGAACTGTGTGAAAGCAATCAGGCGGCAGCACTGCCATGCGAATGCTTTCACCTGACAGGTGAGCCCTGCTGCTTGCCTGTAGCAGGGCTAAAGGTTGAAAAAAAAAAGCTACCTGCCCGATGGCCAGGACTACATGTTCCGGGTGTCAGGCCATACGAAATTCAACATCCCTGCTGCCATCATTTAAAGTGCCGCTGTTTAACCCCAAATAAAGTTCAGCTGTTCTAGTAGGTCTTTGCTGACATTTTCTTAGTCACATCCTAAAGAAAAAGCAATGGTCTACAGAGAGCTTCCAAAGCATTAGAGGGATCTCACTGTTAAAAGGTATCAGTCAGGAGAAGGGTACAAAAGAATTTCCAAGGCATTAGATATACAATGGAACACAGAGAAGACAGTCATCTTCAAGTGGAGAAAATATGACGCAACAGTAACATTACCAAGAATTGGACGTCCAAAATTGCTGAAAAGACTAAAAGAAAAACTGGTCTGGGAGGCTGCCAAGAGGCCTACAGCAACATTAAAGGAGCTGCAGGAATATCTGGCAAGTACTGGCTGTGTGGTCCATGTGACAACAATCTCCCATATTCTTTGTATGTCTGGGCTATGGGTATAGTGGCAAGACAGAAGCCTTTTCTTATGAAGCCCGACTAAATTTAGCAAAAACACATCTGAAGTCTCCCAAAATGCATGTGGGAAAATGTGTTTGGTCTGATGAAAGCAAGGTTGAACTTTTTGGTACAAAAACAACACTGCACATCACCAAAAGAACACCATACCCACAGTGAAGCATGGTGGTGGCAGCATTATGCTTTGGGGCTGTTTTTCTTCAGCTGGAACTGGGGCCTTAGTCAAGATAGAGGGAATTATGAACAGTTCCAAATACCAGTCAATATTGCACAAAACCTTCAGGCTTCTGCTAGAAAGCTGAAAATGAAGAGGAACTTCATCTTTCAGCATGACAACGACCCAAAGCATACATCCAAATCAACAAAGGAATGGATTCACCAGAGTTTTGGAATGGCCCTGCCAGAGCCCAGACCTGAATCTGATCAACAATCTGTGGGGTGATCTAAAGAGGGCTGTGCACAGGAGATGCCCTTGCAATCTGACAGATTTGGAGTGTTTTTGCAAGGAAGAGTGGGCAAATACTGCCAAGTCAAGATGTGCCATGCTGATAGACTCATACCCAAAAAGACTAATAAAATCAAAAGGTGCTTCAACAAAGTATTAGTTTAAGGGTGTGAACACTTATGCAACCATATTATTTTAGTGTTTTATTTTTACTTCCCTCCATCTAAAAGATTTCAGTTTGTTATTCCACTAAGTTGTACAGTTTATATATGTTACATTAAAAGGTGGAAAAAGTTATAAAAATGATTTATCTTTGTCTCATGTTTTTACATCACAGAAACCTGACATTTTAACAGGAGTGGGTAGACTTCTTATATCCACTGTATATTGATGAAGAAATCAGGAATGTGATTGCTTTAAACATATAATGTGTGCCAGCTTGGCTCAAAATAATTATGCAGGTACCACCTCTGATGGTGAATCTGTAATTTACTTTTGTAGTCCATGCTACATACAAATAGCAGCATCCTCTTCTGTCGCTTCTCCGGCAGATCTGACACTCAGGAGAAACCATGCATCTTTCTGGTGAATACGAGGACTCCTCTATTCGGCTGAGGTGGTTAGGTGGGTGGATGACATCAGGATCTCCACCTCGGCCAATCAGAGGAAGCCTTGTATTCTGTGAAAACAAACAAGGCTTGTCCTGAATGAAGAGGTTGCCGCAGCAAGCGACACCCATTATTTAGTACAGTATTAGTGAAGTCCTGATGCACCCACCAGAATAGGAAACAGCTTCCTGTATGCACTAAAGGTTACAACAGTAAATTACAGATTAACCATTGGCCACACAGAGGGTGGCATCTAGATAATTTGTTTGAGCCAAGCTGGTCCAAAGTAAAGGTTTAAAGCTGTCACGTTCCTGGAGTTCTTCTTTAAAGCTAAGCTCCAGGAGTTAACTTTTTAAAATTTATATTGGCCTTACATCTGATTCGTTACATGTCACATCCATGACATCTTCTGCTCTTCTCTCAGCCTTCTCCAATCAGGGGTTATGGGGTTGATTTATTAAAACTAGAGAGTGCAAAATCTGGTGCAGCTGTGTATGGTAGCCAATCAACTTCTAACTTCAACTTGTTCAATTAAGCTTTGACAAAAAAAAAAAAAAAAAACCAAAAAAAAAAACTTGGAAGCCAATTGGTTTCTATTCATAGCTGCTCCAGATTTTGCACTTTCCAGTTTAGTAAATCAACTCCCTTGTATTCACTGAAAAAAAATACAAACTGTTCCCTGGACAGGAAAGGCGCTCAGAAACCCCCTATGCTCAGTATGCAAGTCACTCGATCAAGCACCTGGAAGAGACCAGCTCTGACAGTATGAAGTACAGTGTGTGTGTGTGTGTGTGTGTGTGTGTGTGTGTGTGTGTGTGTGTGTGTGTGTGTGTGTGTGTGTGTGTGTGTGTGTGTGTGTGTGTGTGTGTGTGTGTGTGTGTGTGTGTGTGTGTGTGTGTGTGTGTGTGTGTGTGTGTGTGTGTGTGTGTGTGTGTGTGTGTGTGTGTGTGTGTGTGTGTGTGTGTGTGTGTGTGTGTGTGTGTGTGTGTGTGTGTGTGTTGAATTGTACATTGTACATTGAATTACATTGAATTATCTGCAAGAATTTTCTTTAGCTGTGTTATATGAACTCTTACGTTAACACTGGGATAGGTGTCCACACAACACAGTGAGGGAAACGGCTTCTCTCCAGGTCTGGCTTCATTTTCTCCTCCACCACTTCCGCCATCCACTGGCAACAGCACAGCTACTTCTGCCAACACAGTCAGACACCAGTCACAGCTTTACTTTCCAGTAGTGATGTAACATCCGCTTTCTCCCAGATTACTGGGGTTGTGGCTTTGGTCACCGAAAATCAGTCTTTTATACTTATAGTTATAAGTATTTTAAAACATTCAAATGTTATTTCAATCATTTAGCTTGGAACTGTAAACAAAAACACATTGTTATATTTATGTTTTAGATTACTTAGGAAGCATGCATACATACATACATACATAATGGCCTAAATGGTAAAACAAAGTTCCATTATAAGGAACATGTGGAAACTACAATTAACACAAAATAGTTCATATGGCACATGCAGCAGTACTTCTAAAATAGAAGGGCTGCAATTAACGACTATTTTCATAATTGACCAATTATTGTTTCAATTAATCAGATAAAAACCTCAAAAAAGTTTGGGGTATAATTTAATTCATATGTAAAGTTTTTTTTTTTTTTTTTTTAAAGACACTTCTTGAATATCTATCTGCAGTGGTAAATATAAATAACCAGCTTTTTATGGTTAAGAAACAACATTTCTAATCCACTCAGAAAATCTTGTGCATACACTATACTGCCAAAAGTATTGGGATGCCTGCCTTTACACGCACATGAACTTTAATGGCATCCCAGTCTTAGTCCGTAGGGTTCAATGTTGAGTTGGCCCACTCTTTGCAGCTATAACAGCTTCAACTTTTATGGGAAGGCTGCCCACAAGCTTTAGGAGTGTGTCTATGGAAAAGTTTGACAATTCTTCCAAAAGAGCATGTGAGGTCAGGCACTGATGTCGGACGAGAACGCCCGGCTCAAAGTCTCCGCTCTAATTCATCCCAAAAGGTGTTCTATCAGGTTGAGGTCAGGACTGTGCAGGCCAGTCAAGCTCCTCCACCTCAAACTCACTCATCTATGTCTTTATGGACCTTGCTTTGAGCACTGGTGCGCAGTCATGTTGGAACAGAAAGGGGCCATCCCCAAACTGTTCTCACAAAGTTGGAAGCATGAAATTGTCCAAAATGTCTTGGTATGCTGACGCCTTAAGAAGTTCCTTCACTGGAAATAAGGTCTAACCAAGCCCAACCCCTGAAAAACAACCCCACACCATAATTCCCCCTCCACCAAACTTTACACTTGGCACAATGCAGTCAGGCAAGTACCATTCTCCTGGCAACTGCCAAACCCAGACACATCCATTGGATTGCCAGGCAGAACAGCGTGATTTGTCACTCCAGAGAACACTGCTCTAGAGTCCAGTGGTGGTGTGCTTTACACCACTACACACTTTGCATTGCACTTGGTGATGTAAGGCTTGGATGCAGCTGCTCAGCCATGGAAATCCATTTCATGGAGCTCTCTACGCATTGTTGTGCTAATCTGAAAGCAACACAAAGTTTGGAAGTCTTTAGCTATTGACTCTGCAGACAGTTGGCGACTTCTGCGCACTGTGCGCTTCAGCATGTGCTCTGTCATTTTACATGGCCTAGTTGCTGCTGTTCCCAGTTGCTTCCACTTTGTTAAAATACCACTAACGTTGACCATGGAATATTTAGTAGCAAAGAAATTTCACAGATGGACTTATTTCACAGGTGGCAACCTATCACAGTACCACGCTTGAATTCACTGAGCTCCTGAGAGCGACCCATTCTTTCAAAATTTTTGTAGAAGCCATCGGCATGCTTAGGTGTTTGACTTTATACACCTGTTGCCACGGAGGTGATTGTAACACCTGAATCCAATGATTTGGAGGGGTGTCCCAATACTTTTAGCAATATAGTGTATCATACTCAGAGATCAACATTTTTATTTTAACAAAAAAAAAAAAAGAAGACCTAAAAACACTGTTTTACTGATTTTCAGACAGGATTGATAATATTATGCATGGCAGACTCCCCATGGCAGGTAGCTTAACCGCTGCCGCCCTGCCACTGTGTATATACGTGTGCAGGGCGGCAGTGGAGCGCAAAACCACGTTTAAAAACGGGTTCCGCGCTCCCGACACTTTCGCCGGCAGGGGGCGCGCGCGCGCTCCCGCCGATCCGCGGGTGACACTATTTGATCCAGGAGGGATCAATCATTAGATTTCAGCCAGTGATTTCTGGCTGAAATCACATGATCGGTCCCTGTCCTATCCTGTCCTGTGTTGACATACACACAGGGCAGGATATGATGTCATTCTTCTCTGCCTGGACACATTCCGTTCCAGACAGAGAAGAAGACATCCAAAAAGTGAGTACACAAGCACTACACTACAGTTAGAACACTCTAGGACACATTTAACCCCCTGATCGCCCCCCCCCCCCCCCCCCTCCAGTTAACCCTTCACTGCCCTGTCACCAGTGTTACTGATCAGTGAAGCGATTTTTACTGATCAGTGTCGCTGGCGACTTCCGATAGAGTTAGCGCCCCTCCCAGATAGCGCCAGATTGCCCGCCAGTACACCAGTAATCCCGTTTAACCCCTTGATCGCCCCCCCCCCCCCAGTTAACCCCTTCACTGCCCTGTCACCCCCAGTGTCACTGATCAGTGAACCGATTTTTACTGATCACTGTATCAGTGTCGCTGGCGACTTCCGATAGAGTTAGCGCCCCTCCCAGATAGCGCCAGATTGCCCGCCAGTACACCAGTAATCCCGTTTAACCCCTTGATCACCCCCCCCCCCCAGTTAACCCCTTCACTGCCCTGTCACCAGTGTCACTGATCAGTGAACCAATTTTTACTGATCACTGTATCAGTGTCGCTGGCGACTTCCGATAGTGTTAGCGCCCCTCCCAGATAGCGCCAGTTTGCCCGCTAGTGCACCAGAAATCCTATTTAACCCCTTGATCGCCCCCCCCCCCCCCAGTTAACCCCTTCACTGCCCTGTCACCAGTGTCATTGATTACAGTGAACAGATTTTTACTGATCACTGTATTAGTGTCACTGGTGACTTCCGATAGTGTTAGCGCCCCTCCTAGATAGCGCCAGTTTGCCCGCTAATGCACGGGATTTTTTTTTACCAAAAACATGTAGCAGAATACATTTTGGCTTAAATTTATGACTAACTTTGAGTTTACGATATATTTTTTATAGCTGAAAGTAGAAAATATTGTTTTTTTTCAAAATTTTTGTGGTTTTTTTGTTTATAGCGCAAAAAATAAAAAGAGCACAGGTGATCAAATACCACCAAAAGAAAGCTCTATTTGTGTGAAAAAAAGGACGTAATTTTCGTTTGGGTGCAGCATTGCATGACCGCGCAATTATCATTTGAGTTAGTGAAGCGCTGTATAGCAAAAAAAGGCATAAATTACAGTATCTATACCATAGTTTGTAGACGCTATAACTTTCACACAAAAAGCAATCAATATACACTTATTGGGATTTTTTTTTACCAAAAACATGTAGCAGAATACATTTTGGCTTAAATTTATGACTAACTTTGAGTTTACGATATATTTTTTATAGCTGAAAGTAGAAAATATTGTTTTTTTTTCAAAATTTTTGTGGTTTTTTTGTTTATAGCGCAAAAAATAAAAAGCGCACAGGTGAACAAATACCACCAAAAGAAAGCTCTATTTGTGTGAAAAAAAGGACGTAAATTTTGTTTGGGTATAGCATTGCATGACCGCGCAATTATCATTTGAATTAGTGCAGCGCCAAACAGCAAAAAAAGGCCTGGTCATTAAGGGGGGTAAATCCTCTGGGGCTCAAGTGGTTAATACAAGTTACATGTACCTGCTGTCACTTATGCTGGCCATACACAAATTCATTTTTCCTTTGAAAATATTTCTTTTAAGAACATTCATTCGATTTTCTAATTGTTAATGGGGGTCGAATCGACATTAGTTTTCGACCACAGTGACGGGAACATTTGAAGGTGCAGAATAGAAAACTTCTCTTGATCTAAAATTCTCGGACAGTAATTTGGTTTTCGTTCAGAAATTACATTCATTTTAAAATTGAATGTAAAAGCAAGTGAAGTTTTCGAACATTTGTCCATTTATCTTTTACAAATATTCTCGTCTGAAAATCTATGTGTATGACCAGCACAAAACATTGAGTAGCAGCAGCATGATTTTTTTTTATCACCTGTCATGATCGGGTTAAAAAAAATCCAAAAGTGAGGCCAAAAAACGTGAGGCCTTTATAGTACAAAAAACGGTAGATCATCACTACTATAAGGGGTTTATATTATTCTGTGAAACAGTGAACGTAATGATATATACACACACACATATATATATACACACATTTTAAAAATAAATTTACCCAGAAGTAGGATACACAGGGTATTTTAACTGGGAGTCAGACATTAAGCTATATGAAGGGGGGAGGGGTGTTGTAATTATTTTTATATAAAGTATTACTAAAGGCTGAGGCTTTTTTTCCATGGATATTAATTTTAACCAGTTCCTGCCCGGCCTATAGCACAATGATGGCCGGGCGGGGCTTTCGATCATATGACGTCCTCCTGCATTGCACAGCAACAAGATCTGTTGGTGGCTGTGTCCAATGACTGAACAGTGTAAAGGCCCGTTGCTGGTTCCATGTGATCTCTGTGACCAATCACAGGTCACATGACAATTGTAAACAATGGATGGCTTCCTTTCATGCCATCCATTGTGTACAATTGTGTTGTAGCTGTGATTGATCACAGTGATCACATGGCACAGACTAGACCAGGGGTGGGCAAACTGCGGCTCTCCAGCTGTTGCAGGACTACAAGTTCCATCATGCCTCTGCAAGTCATAGCTGTAACTGTCAGTTTTGTAATGTTGCAATGCCTCATGGGAAATGTAGTTCCACCACAGCTGGAGAGAGCCGCAGTTTGCCCACCCCTGGACTAGACCAGTCACAGACCATCCATGCCATGTGATTAGCTGTAGCAAATCACAGCTAATCACAACAAAAAAAAACCTGAATAAATTGATTTCAGTCAGTAAAATGCTTGCTTATAGCAATGAAATTCATTGCTATAAGCAATCATAAAGT